ATAGGCATTGTAATCTTAGCAGTCCTGTTGATGACTGGCTTACAAGAACAGCTCAATCGAAATCCCATTCGACTAGTTGTTTTATGAAGAGTAAAATAGGAATAAGGATTATGGTCGGGTTTGTTGTAGTTGTGATAAGAAACAACCATTTCTGCTTACTAGTCTTTACTTTTTTGTCTAAAAGTTGATCAGCAGACACGCTTCTGCTAGGTAGTACGTACTTCTGCACTCTTGATTAACACAACATTGCTGTACATTAATCATTAACATAATTTGCAGCATCAGAAAAAATGTACGTCATGAATGTTAAATTCCAAATTTAAAACTGCGATAAAATTATCACTAAAAACTGGCCTGGAATGTAAAGTTTATTCAAGGGACGCAATAGAGCGAAATGATTATATTCAAGGATTTCTATTGACTGATGAATAAAATTAAAAATTCGCTCAAATGTCTTAAAGTTGTTTAATAAACAGTAATCATTTCAGGTGTTGGTTTGCAGGAATTCCATTGGTTACAGGATTTTCATCATGAGCTGAAATTGTTTAGAGAATCATTGGAAAACCTGGGAGTACTGGACAGCTGTTTCGTCCTAGTTTTTGGTCTCTTCATCAGTACGCACCCACCGGGATTTGAACCCAGGACCTTCTGGTTACAAGGCAAGCTAGCTCGTAGACCATTAAGCCACTGGGACCCGATCCAATGGCCCACGAATTCTAATTTCTACCAATTCACGACATAGCGCGACTCCAGCCAATGTCTTCGGCGAGTATTTGTCCTCACACCTGACCTGCTGCACTCTACTGGTCACGACTTCTCACTAGAACCCCGCGTAACTATCTACCTGAATAGGGCAAGTCGCTAGTGAGCATCTCATTGATATTCATTTCACTTCCTAACAACCATTTAAGTTCATTCATAAATGGTTGGGATCTTTGTGAAAATAAGAACCTAAATGGCCCATGCTGTAGATGTATCTGAGAGCCAATAAACAGAGAGACCACAATGTAACCCTAATGAGTAAATCATGAGTTTTTTTGTTGAACAACGAAATAACGTAAATAAAAGCACATGACCAAAGTGAAACAATAACATAATGGCGAAATGTGAGGATGGAAGTGAGATCAGTATGGCAAAAATTGGTGAAAATATCTGAATTTTTGGAAAACAGATGGACACAGCAGTAATACTGTGAATGAGAGTCTTTGATCATTGCCAACCTGAGGGCTGTAGTCATTCAGCCTAAACCTCAGTACGTTGCTATAAACAAAAGTAAAAAAAGTCATGGACTCCTGCTTCGTTTTACTGTAACTACCCTACACTTTTCTAACTTCAGCCAACATGCCTTGTGCAAGAAAGTGATGGTTTGGCATTCATTACATATTCACTAATCACAACAATCTATAAATATTCACGACCTCTAAATTGCTTGCTCTTTTGTGGAACAAAAGCACCTGCAGTAAACAAAACTTGAGATCTTTTCTTGCTATCGATAGCTAAAGGGTAGAATAAGTTTATCACAATGACATAGGGCTGAAATAAGAGGTTACAGTGAAGTGTTGAAATCATGTCACTTTATTAGTAGTGCAGAAACCAACTAAGCCTGCTTGATATTTTTCTTGTAGTTGATATTGAACGTGAGGTTGTCTATCAATAGATCCGGTATTCGACTGAAAAACGTTAGGTTTTCGATTTTTCCTTACCTCACTTGCAGAGGTATGGCAAGTTATCATCATCTGAATTCAGCCATTATATTGACTTATACTTTAGTCCATGGGCCTTTACACAGTTGATAGGTTGCGTTGATATGTATTACAAAAAACCCAAAGAATTCTGATGGATGAATGGATAATTATGTAGGCTAAAGTAAAAGTAAGCGATTCGTCATTCTCAGAACCTTAGTCGCTCTCATTCTGCATGACCTACTTCACAGAAGAAGCATAATCAATCTAGGTGTGCAAAACTTTTAAAAATTACTAACCGGATGCATTAGTTGAATAGTTTTGAAGGCAACTGGGTGCTGGAAAAAAATGATCATCCATATATTATTGAACAGTTATCTAGTGAACCTATTTCTATGTGAGGAGAGATTAAACATTATTTCGAATTTAATTGGAAGACTTATTATTATTTTATCCTTTAATTCATAGAGGAAAATAGGGCTTCAGCCACGCGTCTCCATTGCCTTCAGTTCTCTGCCAACATTTTCACCCCCACTCCAAGTCTGCCCACACGCTTTCATTTCCTCTTCACATGACCTCCTCCAAGTCACCCTTGCACTGACGACCAACTCGCCGCCCGCTTCCCTTTCGGGTTCCACTCGAGCAGTGGCTTGTTTAGTGATGTCACTTGATGGTTTCCTCAGAGTATGGCCAGCCAATCCATCTCCATTTCTTCCTGCGTATTTGTTTCACAATCGGTTCCTGCTGAGTTGGTTCGCTCATTGCCAGAGATCCCTCCCTGTCGCTGATCTTTCCAGGTCGGCCATCTGATCTTGAGTGGTATTGAGCGAAGACAACTGTTAATGAAGGTCTGTAGTTTGTTTGAGATGCTGTTTATGACGCGCTGGCCAAGTCTCTGATCCGTTTAGCATGTAGCACTGACTTCACATTGGAGTTGAAAATCCGGATCTTATTTTTGATGGTGAATGCTGTTGACCTCCACACAGACTTGGTGAGAGTAATGAAAGCTTGTCTTGTTTTCCCGATGTTCCTGGCTTTGATATCCTCGTTAGTGTCGTCCGCCTGTAGTTGAAACGATGCTTCGCATATCGGTAGGTGGGTAGGTAAAGGAGGTTGTTTCTTTCAGGTTCCTGCCATTTATGCTGGCTGATTGTTGTCTGTTGTTGGTGTTGGCCAGGAATCTTCATCACCCCTTTTTTATTTATGTTCACCTGAAGTCCAATCTTCTCTGGATTCTTCTTCTGCCAGCTTGTTTCTGCTTCTCACTTGCATATCTTCCAGTTTGTGGGAAATCAAACATATATATGTCATCAAGGGCGAAGTCCAAATCCTCCAAGTCTCTTTTTGTGTCAGTCCATTTTATGCCTGTTTCCTCATTGCCCACTACTGTCTCTCGCATTATCCAATCGAATGGAATCAGGAAGATCATTGGCGATAGTAGACAGCCAGCCTTGCCTCACTCCCGTCCTCACTTCGAAGGCCTCCGTAAGTTTCCCGTTGTGGATTACTTGGCATACAGTACTGTCGTATAACTGTTGGATGAGATGTATAATTGTCGATGACACCCCACCGTAGTAGCGAAGTATTTTCCAAATCACCTCTCGATCGACGCTGCACTGTCGAAGGCCTTTTCAAAGTCGATGAAGTTGAGTGAGGTGGAGAGGTGACTGCCGTTCCAAGCTTTGTTCGATGATGATCCGTAGAGTGGCGATTTGATCAATACATGACTTGTTTCTCCTGAATTCGGCTTGTTCCGGTGTAAGTTTTTCATCCAGGGTGAGTTTTTTGGTTCTCTCCAGGATGACACGGCTTAGTATTTTTCTTGGGATGGACAGGAGCATAATTCCGCACCCACCTTTTAGATACAAGATCTTGAGTATTAAACAGTTTATCATAATCATTATTCCTAATACTAGGACACTGTGTGAACTAGTATAGACAAACAGAAAGCAGTGGTGATTACGATCACATACTAAATTATAAGAAATCCTCAGATAAAATTTAAGGCGAACCATTGAATAATATTGGAGAAACTATGCAGGCAGATACTTGCTTAATAAAGTGCGTTGATATGGCATTTCCACAAAATACACTCTGTACTTTGTATGCTACTTCCATGAAACAAACTCTGGAGTTTGCTTCTTAACTGTAGTTATCAAACAAAATTTATCGCCACAGACTAGCTGGACGTTTTCAATGAATTCAGTCAATTCGAGGGTAAGCTTTAACGTCACTCAAAGTTTATTAAACTTTGTGTATTCAACTAGAACGCTCTCTAAAATAAGGTTGAAGATAAGAGCTGTTCTGGCATGATTAAAGCATGCACCTAAGCACTTAATATGAGATCGCACCAAGTCAGTCACCTGAGGAAATTCAAAATGTAAATAAACCACTTCTGTTCTACTTATCCAAGTTTATTGAAGTAAAACTTCGGCAAATCTGTTTTGCAATTACATATATCCTCACTCCTAAAATAAACATTTTGCAATCATACGAAGCTAGTTCAAGTGTAGAACTTCAAACATTTCTTCACTTACAGTGTGAGTATTAAGAATGATCTCATATGCATATATATTCTGAGTAAAATCTTTTCAGTGCAAATTCTTTTGATATCCTGCCTCATTTTTGTATTTTCTTCCAGGACGTCGTGTTTTTAAATATGCTATCTATTTGAATTGAATTTTTGATTTTCCCGTCGATTGATTGGACCGAAGTGCTCGGTGTCAGGTTGACATGTCGGCTTCTTGTGCAGATGCTTCGAAGATGTCTGGGCATTTAATTAGTATTCAGTTGGTGGATGGTGACCAGCAGTGGAATCCAGGATGCACATTTCGTCCTATTTGGGACTCGTCTGCTGGATGTACCTGCATTTCTCACTGAGTGATGATGACGTTCTCACCGAGGCTCGAACCCAGTGCCCATAGTTCCAAACGCCAAAGCGTTATCCACTAGACGACTTGGGCCACGAGAGCCACCTCTTGTGCAACGGGTCATATTAATTATTGAATTGAATTTTGATTTTCGCTTTGATTGATTGGAGGGAAGTTCTCGGTGTCAGGTTGACATGTCGGCTTCTTATGTAGATGCTTCGATGAGAAGCCTCGGTGAAAACATCATCATTACTCAGTGAGAAATGCAGGTACATCCAGATGACGAGTCCCAAATAGGACGAAATGCGCATCCTGGATTCCACTGCTAGCCACCATCCACCATTTGTATGCTTTCTGTTTGTTTGAGCTTTTGATGCTATATGGAGAATAAGTGAAGTGTAAAGATGTCGAATGTTTACCACTTAGGTGGTCTGTTTTTGCATTGTAGAGATGGGTGGATTACCGTCTGAAGTGGAGACCGAGTGACTTCGGTGACCTACAAAGTCTGTTACTTTCCAGAAATGTCCAGTTATGGAAACCTGACTTAGCCTTTGGAAATCGTAAGAAGCAAGGATCATTTCATTTATCCGCTAGTGATAATTCATCACGCCTACAAGTTGAATCCAATGGCTATGTGACATGGCTACACGGTACAGTTTTAGAATTGTCTTGTCCTGTGGATATGGCAAAACTACCATTTGATAAGCAAAAATGCTACCTGGTTTTAACTACATCATATAGTTCATTGAAACAACTCATAATCCATCCAAAAATCGATCAGTTAAGTATTGACAATAGTTTTATACCGAATGCAAATCATAGTGAATGGATTATTGATGAAATCGATTATCATTCTTCTGTATATCTTCGACAAACTAATTCAAAATATCAGTATATTGTAATATCATTCACACTTAAACATGAACCACTATATTTTATTACATTTGTTGTTGCACCTTTCACCCTGATTTCAATATTGACGTGTTCTATATTCACTTTGAGTTGTCCGAGTGATCGGTTAGTGACTGCATTATCATTGTTCTTTGGTGCTACTGTGTATGTTATTATTGTATCATCGAACACACCCAGATCTATCAGCGAAATACCACTGTTGGGTAAGTGACGATTCACTGCAAATTATTTGTATTATTGTAAAATTATTTAAAATAATCTCAGCGTGATTAGAAAATTAAAACCTTTCTCTGTGTAAGTCACAACTACTGCAGCAGAATTTATAGTAAAATAGTACATAAATTAAACATTTTTCACCTTTTGAATAAACACGATTCCAGCATCCATGGTCTAGATATTTATGACTACATTATTTCACTGATTATACTGTGCAATACCAAACATGTTTTAATTTTTTGCCACAGTATAGTAGACAGAAAAATTTGCTGTCTTAAATTATAGGCAGCCTAAGGGCATGTATACTTCTGCGTCATCTAATTAGCTTTGCAAACATTCTGGAACTAGGAATAATAGGCATTTCATACTATCGCCAGAATAAAAGAGAAGTCTCAAGGTATTTTTTTGCGGAAACAGTATAATTGGATATATCAACTTTCGCCTTTTTAAGCGGATTACTTTCACTGTTTTAGTCTTTTGTAAGCATTTTTGTCGTATTACAGAACTGTTAGTATAAATGCAAGAGTTAGACTATTGATCGGGCAACTTATCAGATGGATTTTTTCGAGTGATGATTTTTCTAATAATCAAGTGGAACATAGAACTTCTAGCTAGAGCTTTGAAGTTTCGTTAGCAGTGGTATTTATTTTTACGGAATGGGGTTGCTAGCCTCATGTCCAACCTTGCCTCTTTACCATTCTTATTACTGGTTTAACGAGGTAAAGGAGTGCATCAGTCGGGATCGAGTCCCCGACCGTATGGGTGGTTGGAAAGCATTCTGCCGCTGTGCTACTGACTCACTCGAGTAATGATTATTCACTAGAAATTAAAATTGTCAATGCAAGGACAGGAAGTCTGTACCCACCTATCTGGGTGAAACCAACAAACGATGACTACATGGATTGGTACCATGTTATAACCTGACCACGACTAACTATTTTTCAACTTAATCCTATATTGAAACAAGACAGTGAGGATATTTATTAATCTTATATTAGCTTAGAAAGTTCTCTGACTGACCTTGAAAACATCAGTGATCGACTTCCCCTGAAAAGTGAATATCCGATACCTATTTTTATTTTAATTTAATAGAAGTTCGTATTTACCCGATCTATTAGGAGCTGTAAGAGATAATGACAAAAGAATATCGTGTAATTTTATGCTTGTGATGCAGATAAACAAAGGCTGTATATATTTTTCATAAAAGACCGAGATCTAAATGATATGCGTCTTTTAAAAGACTAAAGTAATGAAGTCTACACTTCAACAACATTAATAATTCTATCTAGGTACTAAAATTTATTTTAGACTGTTGCAAGTATTTCTACTTTTCCTTCAAACTTAATTTGTCAGCTGAGCAAACGAAATCCCAAGAAGGTCGACAGCTGATGTTTTAGTACTCCTAGTAGCCTATGTGGAAGTTATCTTTCAGGGAGCAATTCAATTTCACACTTAGTTTGGTATGGAAATTAGACATAGTTTATTTTATTTCTACCAAACTTTGGCTTTCAATTCTTCGCTTTATAGGTTATAGTTCAGTCTAAGCTTACTATATTAAACAAGAATTGGTGGCATCACAACACTGTTTTTCACCCATCATTATTACCTTTAAGTATATGTGATTGACCAGTTGACAGGAAATGTTTAAGTTAGTAGATAAGCTAAATTTTGTAAGTGTGAACAAAGCAAAAAAGAGGAATAATACGTCAGAAGGAAGAGTATTTTCAGATTATTAATGTAAATGTGCACTTCACAAGAGTAAAAATGGTGAAAGCATCAAAATACCCCTTCTCGATTATAGCTCTGGCAAAAGTGCTGCTGACATACTTGACTTTGAATAAGAGAGACACTATTTTTTGTGTAAAGCTTTCCACTCAGTTGACAGTTTCATTTGCTTTCTTTTTTTCTATTCAGGTGTTTATCTGCTGAACCAATTAGGCTTTATGGGTTTCGCAACTATTGTGGCTGTACTCAATAGCCATTGTGCTCAAATAAACAATCGGTTAGAATGTCTTAAAATTCCATTTGAGAAATGCTTCTCAACAGAAAGGCACATGATAAAGGTATTAAAAGAGTTAAAAATGAAGAAATCGTCCTGTTCTGATTGTCACAGTTACGCCGATCATTATTGTCAACGTCAGCGACAGCAGCACAAAGTGACAGATTTATATAACAACTGCGAACTAAAACATAATACTGATTTACCCTTGTCTAGTTATGAAAACAAAAGTTATCGTTATTATTTACCGTCGTACGTAGATTTACTCTGCATATTCATTTATTTGATAATGTCTACCTGGAACTGGATTTACTGTTTTCACATATTACCTAATCAATAAAATATTCGATTGCGCACTTTATTTCTTCTTCGTACACATACTGACACCTACAAATTTGATGCAGCAACATGTGACGTAATAAATTATCTGTAGGGATTTTTTTTTGAGCTTTATTATCTTTATCTAAACGGTATGTCTTAAATCTATTTCTTCTTCAATAATCACATCCTCGTCATCCAGTCTAGAAGTGTAAAACATACTTCCGATTAGTTGGTCTTGTAATCTACCTCTTAAAGTACAGAACAATATACACAAAAGGTTTGCTTCCCACTATCGAATCGATAATGACATGCTTTCATGTACATTAGTCACGCTAATATAGTAAACAGGCCGTGTGTGACCGATCCCAAGTAGTTGTTCCCTAGTTTATCCGGTAAGGGAACAAAGTAACTTTTCTATCTCGTGTTTTCCAAGAAAAAAATAACTTCCACGAAGTGGGTAGCCAGGAAATAATAACTAATTACAGACCCCTATAAGCGCAAAAAGCCTTCCTAATGACTACCCACCTCTGTTTTCTTGCTCTCCTTCTAATGTTAATACTATTCCGCAGGTTAGTTTTCTGCCTTCTCTTAACTCTGGGACAGTTAATGACAACTTGAACTAGGAAAATACTACTCCTAGTGTCTTAAAATCACTTCGAGTTCACATTGGAGCATTTAACGTAAGAACTCTTTGCCAAATCAGACAACAGGCCTCACTAGTCAGACCTCTGGTATCTTGAACCACAGTGTGTTGCGTTTCGGAGACATGGACATAAAATCAAGGTGTGATTATTCACTTAACCCCCCTGGCCAACATGCAGAACCTACAGGATTCACTCCACTTCTGTGGAGTGAGGATTTTCAGGTGTAGGTACAGCGTTAAGTGCTAGGGCAGAAAAGTCTCAACTTGGCTGGATCACAGTAGATAGTCGTACGTGTACTGTTCGGCTGAACAGAATTATTAGAAGAAGGGAAAACTGTCATACCCGTCGATTTCACTTCATGGTCTTCACTTACTCCCCAACTAACCCAAATGTAAACAAAGTATGGGAGAGTTCTATCAAAATCAATATAGTTTGCTGCTGAAAGCAAAATACTCAGATACAATCATCTCAGCTCGCCAATTCAGTGATCAAGTAGGAAAACTGTCCCAGTTGGAAAAGTATATTGGTGGCATTGATGTAGTCGCATGTCGGCGGACAGACCACAGTGATTGTATTATACAATTTTCTCCATATAATCATCTGCAGCATTGCGTGACGCAGGTAAAGTCCCAGAAAGGACATGAGTTTCTTCAAGGTTACAGATACGCCTTGCTGACGAGTGCCAGCTAGCATGGAACCCAGGTCCAAGGCTTTCTGCCGATCGCCTCCAGAAATCTAACATCAACAAATCAGTGTGCACCATGATAGCGAGCTACATTGCAAACTCGATTGATAGAATTCAGTCTGCGTCAAAGAAAGAACTGGACACATCACACTTGTTACAAGTGTCCAATCAAACATAATCATCTATTCCTGGTCACCACTAATTGCCAACATAAGCAAGGACAGTGTCTGGAGTGCCGATCTCTGATAGTTAAATTACCTTGTACGGAAAAAATAAAACAGACCTATTCGATGAATACACATTTAAATCATTCGGTTATTCCTGGACAAAAAAGTAGTCTACAGTTTCATTCAGTGAAAGTGAATGGATGGCTAAAGTAGTTCATACGAAGTTTAAAATCACTCGAAAATTTGCTATGGAAAGTTTCAAGAAAATTAGTAACAGGTGACCACATATGTATATATATATTGAAGTTGTTCAAATTCAAAAGGAGGCATCATTTCAAAACCTGATGGTCACTGAGCAGTTATAGCCTAGCTCTTTTGTTGTATGTATATATATATATATATCTGCTATTGATTCGATTGGTAATTATATAGTATTTCGACCCGAGTCTGTGTTCTGCTTTTCACGTCTTATCCCAGCGTGCTTGATATATTTATTATTGTCTGTGCTGTTCTATTACAATATATATATATATATATATACATCACCTCGAGAATATTTTGATTGAATGGTTAGTAGAACGGGTTAAAAATCCCAATTATTTAACAGTGAAGAGGAAATCTTTTTCTAGTGAGACAGATTAGTATTTTTCAGGCAGTGGATTGATAATACTTAAGACATTATCTTTTATTTTTTATCACACTTTGATTCCATACAGTATTTTGGTACAACTAGTGAATTTTCATCATGTGATAGCGGCAGCCCAACTTTAGCAGGCTGAACATTGATATTAGGTGTGCATCGGTTGAGGATCGAATCCTAGACCATGTGCATGGTCGGCGAGAGTCCTAACCGCTGTGCTACCGACACACAAGACCAGTGCTCTGACCACTGAGCTATGGAGTCCCGTTGGACCATTAGTAACCTTAATGAACTGACTCCTTGGACCTCTGATGGTTTTCAGTACGCCTAAAATTATTTTACACCTCCATAAAACAAGAGTTAAAGACCAGAAATTCAATGGTAACAATATGATAAAAGTTTCTTTCCTTCTAGAACAGTGGTGCATATTGCTGACATGTAGTTACAAATCATCTACAAAATGAAATCATGAACGAAGATATAAAAATTTACTATTCCGAATTCACTGTCTTCACAGTTATTTATGAAGCGCAATACAGAAACATTTGTACATTTCTTCAAATCTTTTCTTTCTGCTAATGAATTCAAACAAAAACTGAAAATAAAGTGATCAAAATTAAAGTGAAATTGAAAGAATCCTTTTTTTCTTTTTAGAGGAATTAACAAACTTCCTGTGTCTAACAGTTTTCTTTTTTTTTAGTCAAAAAGAAGTTCTAGTAGTTACCCACTTTATTTGTTTGTGTGTTCAGCAAAATATCTGTTTCATGAAATAATTGCACTTTAGTTAGAAAGTTTAAGAAAGCAAATGTTGACATATTGTTGAATAATTTGCATTCATTCGATTAGAACACACATCACTGACCGATTCTGTTTTGAAAAGCAAATAGATTATGTAAAAGCTTTTAGTTTAATCAGAATTTGAAATAATTGTAACCAATTGGTTGAGAAAAAAAAATAAAGAAACAAACAGATTTATAGTATGAAATAACACTTTTGTTGTCGCGTTTTGTCATCTGTATGATCTAAGTGTGAAGAGTTCATTTGTTTTTCTAGATATCCTCAGCGCTAACCTCAAAGTGAATTTTGTTTCTGGAATTCCCGATGAATGTAATAAATGTTTTTTCTAATGATCTTGAAAAAAATGAGTTGTCTCCAGGCTTTTTCTCAGTCTCATTCCCATTCATATTCGTTTTTTGTTGACCAGATTTTTGAGTTTTCGATAGCATATCTTCTCCTCTACTGTCCGACATATCTGTTGAGAGAAGATTCGTCTGCAACCAGAGTGCTTGAAATTCCTTCGCTTTCTTACTGTTGATGTTGGCTCTGTCTTCTTTTTCTTTCTTGCTTCTTTTGGTCGACATGGCATGGAGTGAAGCTGCATTGCTGATTTTTTCGGTGGTGGTATTTATTCTAAACGGGTTCAGTATTCTGATCATAGTTTTAGAAATATTCTTAATTCAGAGCAAAACTATTTTCTTTGTGGATTCAATTGGTTTTGTTTTCATGAGTCCGTTTGCGAGTAGACACCCTTCAGTAAAATTTTGTGCAAATCCATACTTTTCGAATGTGGTTAGAGATTGTTTTTCTGCCATTCTTCTCAGGAAGGATGTGCTAAAATGAATCTTAAATTTTCTTAATGTCTTCATGCGCCTTACCTTGTGTACCACTGAACCAGTGTCAATAAAAAGTCTGAGCACTGTCACCGTGTTACTTTGGTATTCAATGTGTGTTGATGGATTTTCCTTACACTTGTGTTTTCCGCTTTCTTGTGGTTGTTCTCTTTGCTAAAATACCAAAATTGGAATTCCATTTTTGTATTTCTCTGCTCATTTAAATCAAATATTTTTTGGAAAAGTCATTTATTAGACCATGAATGCCTTCTGAATCATTTTTTTGACTGAGACAGATGTGTCGTTCACATATGTGCGTCGGTGGCACAGTGGTTAGGATTCTCGCCGACCATGCACATGGTCCGGGGTTCGAGCCCACGCCGACGCACACCTGATATCTATGGTCGGCCTGCGAAATTTGGGCTACCGATATCCATGCTGAAAATTCCATACTTGTACCAAAAATGCAGTGTGGAATTAAGCTGTAAATCAAAAAATCAAAAAAAAAATATATATATAGACTTTAGGTTCGTTTGAACATGAAATTAAAACTTTGAGCCTTTACATCACAACTGTTGAAACTGGTCCTGATACAGATGGCCCTTTTTATCTGTTCACATCTTTCACCACTGAAATAATAAATAAGTGATGAACTCGCTCCATCTTGAATATTTGATTTTTAGGTGTTGAGAGGCATTAGTAGTGATTAGTTGTTGCATGGTTTATTTATTCAGTTTTCGTTCAGTCGAAGAGTATAGTTGTGTATTATATAAAAGCCATGCTTGTAATTTGAGTGTTGCCCACGTGAATGCCTTCGATTTTCTTTAGAAATCTAGCTAACAGTTTGATTGAATGACTACAGAGCACTGACAGATATTTTAGTTCCCCACAGATTGCCATGACTATATCGTATTTTGAGTATCCTAAAAGTAGGATGTCTGATCTTAAACAAATGTCTTGTTTGTGAAGTTCGAGCCCAGCGCAAAATCAAGGTTAAATTGGTGCATTAAAGTTTATTCGTCATTCATCTAGCTTGGATGACTGTGTTCTGGATTCCTTTAATTCCATTGTGTACTGTTTTGATGGGACTTATGTGAGCCACTGGTATTTGTTATTTTATTATGAGTAATTCTGAAGCTTTCTGGTGGTTTCTTCCCTGACCAAATATACTAAAGTTCTACCTTCATTATCTGGTGATATATTTGAGTTTGATATGGGGATTCTTATGTTTGATCATAAATACAATATCTTGTGTATCTCTTGTTGAGTTTCTCCATTTAATCGTAATAGTTTCAAGTGATGGGTCTAGGGCATCGAAGATACATGTATTTCAGACGGCACTAGTCTGTAGTTTAATCTTTTTCGAAGTGATCACTGTTGAATTTTTGACAGTTTTCATCATGGTAAATACATCACTAGAATACTCATATTTTCCTTGGTTCGTTGTTTTATCACTGTGGTTAATTTTTGTCCTGAAAATTTCGTCTCTGTCGTCTCCCTAACATAGCAAAAACTATGTGCAATGTTAAAACGTGTTTATAGTCGAGAATTCGTTGTATGTTTGTTTTGTAGAGACAGGAATATTTACACTTCCGTGTTTATCAGTCTAGTGATTTGTTTTCAGCCTTACCTAGCTAACTTCTCGCAACGGTCAGTTGGTTGTTGATCCAAATATGGTATTTTAGTTGGTAGAATCAGAAAACGGAAACAATAATGAACAAAGGATTATTAGTCTCTAATAGACACCTCGCGTTTTGACAAAGCTCCCATACTTTTAGACAGACTGAAAAGTGTTTCGCTTGTAGGATTTCAAAATGATAAAATTAGTAGCTCAGTTTAATGTTTTCAATGTTTAAACGAGAAGCTTTCATTGTATTTCTGGACAATATTTTCAGCGCTGACTTCATAATGGACTCATCGATCTAAGAATACTTTCACTTTTTAGATAAAGTCTCGATCATTTTATTCTTACAAGCGTAATTTTATTACTTTATAAGGCAGTGTTTAACCCATTCTCTTGTCTGCCGCACAGAAACGAAGCTAGTAAAATTCAATAAGTAGTCCGTTAACTCAAGTTTAACTGAAGTGGTTGGTCCACTCAAAGGCGTCGTCACATTCAGTTAAAAACATTTTAAATTTCAGTTCTTTTTTAGTAAAATCAAAGTATGTCATCTTCAAATCACTTAATAATTTTCTAAAGTCGGTTTGTAAGGATTAGTTTTGTTTTTACAGGTTGATTACGGATTGATATTAGTTAGAGAACCATTGAAAACGAGGGAGTACTGGACAGCTGCTGTTTTACCCTAGTTTCGGGAATCATTGGCAGTACGCACCCACTGCCAAGGTTCGAACCCTGGACCTTCCGGTTACAAGGCAAGATCGTAGACCATTCAGCCATTGGGACCCGATTCAATTCTAACTTCTACCAATTCGTGATTTAGCGCCACCTCAACCAATGTCGTCAAATGGACATCCATCCACACACTTAACTGAATGCACCTCATTGGTCACGGCTTTTCACTAGAACTCCAGGAAACTCCATCCTGTATCAAGTCACTAGCGAGCCTCAGATTAGTTGGTAGGAGTTAGAATTCATGCAATGGCCACTGTATTGTGTCCCAGTGGCTGAATAATCTACGAGCTTGCCTTGTAACCGGAAGGTCCAGGGTTCGAACCTTGGCAGTGGGTGCGTACAGCCAATGATTCCCAAAACTAGGGTGAAACAGCAGCTGTCCAGTACTCCCTGGTTTTCAATGGTTCTCTAACTGATATCAATTCGTGGTCACCTAATAATTGTTCCAAATTTTTTTTAGAATGCTTATAGATAATCATAAGTCGTGAAATAAAATGGAATCAGTTAACGCCACATTTCTGTTTCTTTTCTCTGTGTTCAGAAACTTCTTTTTTTCCATTGAGAACGCAAATTCTCGGTAGACTATTAAGGGTAGAAGATAGCTGACACGGGAGGGACAAACATTTAAGATTCAGAATTACTTGAGGCCATATTCTAAATATTGCTTTCTTGAAATTTCAGTGAAATCACAACATTTCTTCGGTTTGGTTTGTATCAGGTTTACCCATTTAATTATGCATCACCTGATAGATCTTTTTTCTTATTACTGATTTAATAGTTTGTACATCAATCCCGTATTTTCGAAAGATTTTAAACATAATAAAACAAATTATTACTAAGAAGATGATACTCGGCAAAATTTCAAATAAAATCCACTTACTGGCTGAATTCCCATTCTCTGTTATCTAATGGACAGCGAGGATGAGGACTTGTTTCCAGCCAGCGCTTAATACAGTGCAAATGATATGCATGCTAAAAAACAATAAAGACTAATTGCTACATCACATCAGAATCGAATTCTCATTAAATATTTCAGAATATTCTTTATTTCAAAATGTTGCTGGTTACAGAAACAGAGAATATATATTTGGTTATAAAATGAAGTGGTTCAACAGTCAAAACCCCACCCGGAAACAAACGAAGTACTGTTAATACCAAATTTCATTACTAAAGTGTTTGGTGACGAGCAAGTCCAGACATCAGATTAAGATCCTAGACTATCTGGAAGTGGATTTAAGAAATTTTACGCTCAATGTTTTTAACTAAGGAACATAAACAATTAAATTTTAGGGTAGATTCAATCATTGAACAAAATCACTTTAAGCACCGTTGAAAGCCATGAAGCTTTATAGAGCTGGTTCGTCTTAGTCCGGGAAATTTCTGCGGTAGGCATCTATAATCTAGAGGAGTAAAAGTAGAGATGCGAGCGTATAACTGTTCAACCACCGAAGTGGTATACAATAGCTCATGAATTCCAACTTCTCTATTCTGAATCAATGCCTGCCTAAGAATTCACACAAGGTCTTCTAACTGATGTCACCAGGTCACAAAATCTACCTGGAAATCAATGAAATGACCACAGTGCAAACATCTGGAGACTAAATTTCAACCCAGCGATTATTTTTTAACTAACTTGCCTGGACACTAATTTAAGAGGTAGAAATTCACCACTGAGGAACTTCGGTGATTTGATTCCTTGTATATTACTAGGTAATTTTGTAAGCCGTTTACTAAAACTATCGTATATTGTTCCAAGCTTATTATAATTAAGCAGTTTATTTCCACATATACTGATTCCACAGTTATGCGCATATTTTTACTGGAAATTACATTATTCTTCCACTAACTAGTATGGTTGTGGGGACATGCTGTATGAAGTAGTAGATGAGACGGATTAATGACAAACAAAACGTATAAGGTGATAATCGGTTTCTGGTACTTATGCAGAAAATTTATTCATTCATCCGTCATTTTTGTACCCTTAATTTTGCAGCAACTAACTTTGAAATGACAATCAAAAGAGGATCAGATTTTATTTTTGTCCAATTCATACAGAGGTGCATAAAACTAACAACTTTTATGTCATCAGTCAACACACTACTGAAATTTCTTCCACTAGCATTTGGCTTACTAACTTTTCTGTCTAACATCTTTTCTAATATCTAGCGAACATTTCTTCACTAATAAATTTTCTTATTACGTGTGTTGAAGTGAATAAGTAACGGGTTAGACTTAAATTCAGTGACATCTCTCTTGGACGTTTTCGACTTTTATTTTCCGTTTTGACTGTAAGTATGAAGTCATCAAACTTCAAAGCAAAATAACTGGAACTTTTTTTTGACATACTGTTACATTTTCACTTCAAATTCACTTTATAGAAAGTATCTGTATAATATTGCTTTATAGTATTAAAACTTCATCTGCTTTTCACTTCTGCTGAGTTATAAAATCCCTACTTGTATTTCTTCTCAAATGCCTAATTCGAACAAATTTTTTTTCTCTTGGCACTAGGTAGTATCAGTGCCAGAATAATGATTCCTTCAAGTTCAATAAATATTTTAACTTTCATATACATTTTACAGACTTAAAACACATAATTTCTAGGCTTGAAATGAAGCACACATTATAAACAACATCGAAATACCTACATTACAAGCACCCCATGCTACAAGGCAACTTTCATCCAAAGGATTCGTTCCAACTTTTGCCTGACAATGAATACCTAAAATTATAAATTTTAAAGGAAATAGTTTTCCACAATGTTAGCTGAATGATGGTAAAAAAATTTGCTGTCAGTCAGTTCGTAAAAGAAATGTATAAGAGCGATAATTGATGAAGTCATTTTCCATTCTTAGTTAATAACTAAATAAAATATCTAGATTAATTAACAGTCTCAACAAGTATTCCTGATCAGTCATCAAGGTACTACCGTTACATCGTTATTTTAATTTAAAAGATTTGATTTCTTAGCAGAGATAATTTAAGTCTTGAAAAATAATTGGAAACATGATTGAACAGGCAACTGTGACTTGCGACTGGTTGTCACTTATTATTGATCGGTGTACCGCATTCATGTGCCAATGACAATGTATAATGTATATCATTCGCTAATGGCATCCGCAGAGTTCTTCATTTAACTAAAGGGTGTTATTCTGTTTTGCACGTAAAAAATACCACGTTTAACTTTCAGAAACATAACACATAAATTACTAATGGGTTCACAACAATTACAGCTAGTAATTTTTGCTTGTGTGATTTAAAAGTGAAATATTACCAGAAAAGCTAAATAGCATGAGTGCGAAATGAGCTGTTGGTCGTCAACATCAAGAAATTAAAATAATATAGACGAAGAGAAAACAAAAAAGACGATTCGAAAACTCTGACCACATAGTATGAGATCCTACAAAATTAATTCAGGCTTAACAATATACTAATTAACTTGATTTTTTAATTGGTTATTTTTCTAAATATTGATTGACATTTTAAAACTGCCATGAGAGTGTAATAATTAACGATTATTCGGATAAGATGAATTTCTGTCTTCTGAAAGACTAAGCCATCCGTACGTGCGTCGGTGGCACAGTGGTTAGGACTCTCACTGCCCATGCACATACTCCGAGGTTCGATCCCCTGCTGACGCACAACTGATATCTATGGTTGGCTTGCGAAATTTGGACTACCGATATCCATGCTGAAAATTCCATACTTGTACCGAAAATACGGTATGGAATCAAGCTGTAATCAAAAATATAAAAAATCCCCAGATAGTGTCATCATTGTCATAAAAGTTATGATAATTAACTTAGGTTCATAATACTCAGGAAATAAACTAATAGAAGGCAGTAGAAAACTCTCCATTACGAATCCTTTACAATTATTTAAACATTCAAATGTCTGCCTGTGACAAGCTAGAATTCAAAGTTCAAAATTTTGTGCTTTTAAGGAATAACAGTTACATGGAGGTAATAATGGGTTTAGATTAATCTTAAAATGAATTTCGAAATCCGAAATACCATGAATCATTCAGAGATCACTGAAAATCAGGAATTACTGAACAGCTGTTTCGACCTAGTTTGGGACTGTGGATAAGAGCATATCCTTAACCCCACCAGGCATCGAAAATGAGGCCTACAGGTTACAAGTTTAAACTCGCTGATCATTCAATCACTTGGGTCGGAATTCAGTGATCCATGGAATCTAACTTTAACAGTTTGTGAGATAGCGCAGCTTCTAGCTAGTGCCTACAATGAGCATTCACTTAATGATGATGCTGTGGACCCCATCAGTCACGACTTCTCAGTACAACTTCAAGACATCCCTGTGGGAGTCATCACTCAGTTGGAGATTAATATTCATGTGGTGGGTTTTGAAACTAATTCTAATCTTCAGTATGGAGAGTTATTTCAATATTAGAAATTTCACCATTAATGTACATGACATTTCCAATCGACTCATATTCTTGAGAAGTAATAAAATAGCAAAAGCTGACAGATACAGTCCGTGTAATTCTATTTTCAGATTATTATGCTTGAAATGTAAACTTACTCCACTTACGATACAGATGAAATATCAGATTGCCTATTAAAGGTAGAGCTGAACTAACTTTGATCTTTAACATAGGCAAAAGTGACTGCCTGCCTCAACCATACTTGAAAAATTTGGGTTTTCTTGTGAAAGAAAACCGAAATTGACCAGTAAATTACGTTTATTATATCACTTAAACTGGATCACAGTAACGGGTACCTATTTCTTGCTTGTTCCCGCACACTGTAATGCATACTGCCATCTTTATTGTATCCGAAGATATGCCTGTATTTATAGTCTGCATTTTCTTCAATACACTCAGTAATATTTATTGCAGGGGTTCAATTTTATTATTAGAATTCACTGAGGGATATATATATATATATACATTGCCTCCGACCATCTAATAACAACAATTCAGAGTTCACCGTGATGGCAAGCCACCTGGCATGGTGGCTACATTGCAAACCTCAATGACAAAATTCAGTCTGCACCGAAGAAAGGACTAAATACGTGACACTAGCTACTAACTACTGCCTAATATATATATATATATATATATATATATATATATAAATTCTCGAAATTCCAGTATTGGTACAAACACATACAAGACACTGGGACTCTGATCCTTATAATTATCCCACAGCAAACATACCCATGACATTGTCAGTGAGTGGTTTACACGGTTGAGATAAAAAAAAATTATTAGGGTAAGAAATGGCTGTTTAACACATTTTCACATAGTAAGTGGATTTCTGGAGACCATATTTTATGCGAGGTAGGGTCATAAATAAGTTTTCCAGTGGTTTCCCCAATTGTCACCGCATAGACTATTGCAACAAACAAACTACTACTTGTACTGAAATCCTACAAAAAAATAGGCTGAAACTAAATTTTGCAAGCATAATTTACCCCTGAAAAAATGTCAAACTTTCATGTGTAAACTTTCCAGAAGAAATAATATTAATTTTCAAGTATCCGGCTGTATTGTTTAGATCTATCTACCTTGAAAAGTAATCAGTTAAATCAGAATTTTTAAAAAAATGAGCAGGTGGAGGATGAGAATTCATTTTGAGTGTGGTTTAAAATCCAAAAATTTTGGTCATTAGGTTTTATATTCTACTTCAGTACTTATCTCTCATCACTATAATCTGTAGATATAGAAGTCATTATAATCTTCCAGAAAATAGTAATTTATTTAATTGACTTTGTGAAAACAAAACAAGCCTAAAGATTATTTGCTTTAAAAGAACAATTTGAACAGGTACATCTGTCAGATTGAATTATCTAGAGAAATATATAGTTAGTTACTTGAACCACAAGCATGAGTGACAGTGTGCAGATAAAAAAAATTATACAGGTAAAATCAATTGAATGGTTACTGATAAATGCACTCTTTTGAATTGCCTAAATTCATACCATTGAATGAATTTGGTGGTATTCTCTCCCTAAACTATATTTGAGAATTTATTAATTTTCTATTTCTAAAGCGCTATTAAATGCACCTAATCTTCAGCAGGTTATATGAAATACCTAAATACTTTATAAGAGAACTAAAGACAACTAATAGACGATTGTATTAGATCAGAGACTTGCACTGCGCGTCATAAAGAGCATCTCAAACAAACTACAGACCTTCATTAACAATTGTCTTCGCTCAATGCCACTCAAGATCAGATGGCCGACCTGGAAAGATCAGCGACAGGGAGGATCTCTGGCAATGAGCGAACCAACTCAGCAGGAACCGATTGTGAAACAAATACGCAGGAAGAAAGGGAGATGGATTGGCTGGCCATACTCTGAGGAAACCATCAAGTGACATCACTAAACAAGCCACTGCTCGAGTGGAACACGAAAGGGAAGCGGCGAGTTGGTGGTCACTGCGAGGATGGGGTGACTTGGAGGAGGCCATGTGAAGAGGAGATGAAAGCGTGTGGGCAGACTTGGAGCGGGGTGAAAAAGTTGGCAGAGAACCGAAGGCAATGGAGATGCGCAACTGAAGCCCTATGTTCCTCTATGAACTAAAGGATATAATAATAATATTATAATAATCAGATTTCCACCTTGCGAACTGAACATTCTCACTGCAAAACATTTTGATTGTTTCAGCAAAGCCGGTTAATCAAGTGTCAATATATAATAAATGTACACCAAATTGAGTTAAAAATGAAATCCAGGCCTTAGACAACCACAGTTATGAAGTTTGACTTCACATTTCCAAGTGAAAACGCAGAAATGTAAAAAAAACACCAAGAATAATATGAAAACAGGAAAACAGTGTGTGATAAAATACTTAAAGTTTTGATGATGCACGTGAAAATCTATTTTATCATGTCTATAGACAAAGCAAACAAATTTCTACATTTCTGCCAGTCAAAACGTGACGTAAACATGGGCATAAGAAAGTGACTCGTCTGTTACACTTTCAGCAAAATAAACCAAATGTGTCTGCTTCTCATTGTTGAAGAGTTCTGTGTCATTACTGTAGTTACAGGGATAGTGTTATAATAAAGTCACATCTTTCATTTTGAAGTTTATCATAATCCAACACTTAGAAATATATGTATATATGCAACATTGTTCTCAGAATTTTTGTTGACTTACATAAACTCATCAGAGCATTACGACATATTACACACGTGTCATGCATCACATCCCATGACCAACATGCACACGCATTCCATCGTTTAATTTGAAAATGTTTATTGGACGAATCGTCTGGAATACTGGTAACTTCAGCTTCTCCATTGGGATTATTAATTACTGCAGCTGGCATCAAATGATTACTTCCACTGTTAACATTTGCTGGATTACTATTCGGTCTCTGACCAATGCTGTTTGCAGCTGGTTGCGTAATCCCTCCACCCATTTCACGGTTTCGTCCAGCATTTACAATTAAATTCTGTTTTTTCCTAAGCCAGTGCATGCATTCCTAGAGCATGCGATCACTGCGATTCAACGCAGTACACTTTTCATACAGTCTTGGTGGTATGGGCTAAGTGTTTATTTGTTTATTGATCGATGAGATAATTTAAACGCTCATCTGACTAACAAATAAAATAGATATTTCCAGTAATATTATTAATACATATATGTGTGATATTTAGGACCTGACTTTTGTACTTCTCTCTGTTGCTAATCCACAAGTCTTTTAGAATTAAACATTGCTGCTTCTCTACTCTGAACATGCTAGATGAGCATATACAATTTATAAACATCATATTTTATCTTTGAAAGCATTCAAAAATTGCCCGTAAACTAGTCACATAACTGAAAATAAAAGGTGGCTATCTGAAATTACATAATTAGCCATTAATGTGAATAACTGTTCGACTATGGTGTATACAAAAGTGCGAACTATTTTATCGTCTTCATCAAACTATCAGGTGGCGTAAATGAATATCATAGATGATATGTGATAGACTAATCTGTTAGAATCCTGAAGCGCTCCTCGGGTTTGATGTGATTAGGTATTTGCGAATTTCTCTCACTACAGCTAAATATTGTTGAAGTTCATGAAGTGTTAGTAGAAAATAACACAGCAAGTAGTAATGGTAGTAGTAGGTTGAATGTGGTACTAGAGTCAGCATGCAGTGTGAAAATCATAACGATAAATCATGTTTGAAGAAAGAGAGAAGAAAAATTGGCGCAGAATAATCTGGATCCATTTTATTTCGTTGGTTCTCATCAGATGCGTACAACCTGAATTTTTTAATAAAAATAAAAAGTGTACAATTTTAACAAACCTTTTTCCGTTATCAAGCACACTGTCAGAGCGTCATAGTAAAATATGGCGTTGAGATTTACAGGGTGTCTAAAGTGTTACGACATATATATATATTATTTCTGGTTACAGCTTGATTCCACACTGTATTTTTGGTACAAGTATGGAATTTTTAGCATGGATATCGGTAGCCCAAATTTCGCAGGCCGACCATAGATATCATGTGTGCGTCGGCAGGGGATCGAACTCCGAACCATGTGCATGGGCAGTGAGAGTCCTAACCACTGCGCCACCAACGCATATTGGTAGAGACAAGTTTCTTGAAAAACATGTATTAACAGTTGTGTTGTTGGGGTGGTAACAAAAGAAAATTAGCAATAGCCACGTAATTAGATAAGAGAAGATTAAAATTTTACAATTTCGGTGCACATGATGTCAGATGAGAAATTGATGATGTAATACAGTGAGCATAAACTCAGAAGATCAAGAAAAATTAACAAAATTAGAAAACAAAGGGTTACTAATTTCTAATTTTGTTAGTTTTGTTAGCGTATTTTTTCAATCCACCCTGTTCCCTTTATTTTTCACTTGACTCTCTTAAGGGATAATTTTTCTTGATCTTCTGGGTTCTGCTCACTGTATCACAACATCAATTTCTCATCTGACATCATGTGCACCGAAATTGTAAAATTTTAATCTTCTCTTATCTAATTACGTGGCTATTGCTAATTTTCTTTTGTTACCACCCCAACAACACAACTGTTAATACATGTTTTTCAAGAAACTTGTCTCTACCAATATGCGTTGGTGGCGCAGTGGTTAGGACTCTCACTGCCCATGCACATGGTTCGGAGTTCGATCCCCTGCCGACGCACACATGATATCTATGGTCGGCCTGCGAAATTTGGGCTACCGATATCCATGCTAAAAATTCCATACTTGTACCAAAAATACAGTGTGGAATCAAGCTGTAACCAGAAATAATATATATATATATATTTATATATACATTTAGTAGAGCTTCGCTAATATATTTTATTTTTATTTATTTTTTTTATTTTTGATTTACAGCTTGATTCCACACTGTATTTTTGGTACAAGTATGGAATTTTCAGCATGGATATCGGTAGCCCAAATTTTGCAGGCCGACCATAGATATCAGGTGTGCGCCGGCGTGGGCTCGAACCCCGGACCATGTGAATGGTCGGCGAGAGTCCTAACCACTGTGCCATCGGCGCACATTTCAATGATGAATACGTTGAATAATATTTCTCTTCAACAAATAATATAGACTTGACTTGACTAATTAGTCGAAAACTGTCTTTTGACATGCAACTTTTTTTCTCAATAGTGTAACTAGCAATGCAAATAAAAATACTAACTGGCTGTCGACTTTGGACTGCATCAGGCTTTCTACTAGAAAATATACTAAACAATACTTGACAAACAATATTATCAGCTCAAGTATTTATTCACTAGTTAGATAATACTTTTTTCTTTACTATTATTAATTCCAGTTGGCTTAAAAAAGTTTAAGCATGTTGATTTATTTCAACGTCAACATAATTATCTGTTTGTGTACTTCCTCAGTCGGGCACTGCTTTATCTGTTTTTTTTCATACTTTAGATATCAGGATTGTGTCGGTTTGCATTGATAGTTCAGTTTATAATAAAATCCTGTTAATCGAATACGTCTTGACCTAAGAACTCTTCACTGATCAATATAAAAGTCTGCAAAATGTTTCTACATTCTAGTTAACTATCCATGAAGAATTAAATGAAAAAGTAAAAGTGAATGTGACCACACACTTTAAAGTGTTTTTTTTAATAATTTGTTTAGTGAATAAAGTGCTTGTCCATTAATCATCGAATACGATAGGCAAGTCTCTATGCTGACTATACAACAATGAAAGGTGACGGAGGCTAATGATTAGGTGGATGGAAACAGATTTTTCAAGGGAATGGGTTAAATATGCAGTTGAATAAGAATAGTATTCTTCATACATTAATCAGTTTTAATGTACTTGTTTGTGCTCCCATAAATGACTGAAATAGGTCTTAAAACTCAAAGTATCACTAAAGTTTCTTTCATCTCATTTCTAAAATGTTAAGACTGTTCACCTTATGAAAGTTGTTACTGATACTATAGACACTGGTCTTCTTTATAAAGGAGTCAGGCATATATCTGATTTCTGAAGGTTGTGTTAGTTTTATGCTATTTGAGTGGAAATCTGTTCTTCAAAAGTTTTCAGTCCAACAGTGAAGTTTGATTTATTAAGCGGTCTCTTTTTCCGAGTACTCTGCACCAGTGAACAATAGGACTGGCAACATACAAGAAGTATGCTGCTAACTAACAGGTTTTATCAAAGTAATTTTGTCACTAACTGAAGTCAATCTGAAGACCACTGAGAACAAAGAATAAATGCCTAGCTCTTTTGTCTTTGTCCAGAGCCATGTAGCAACACACACCTACTAGCCCCCTCCTATCTAGCATAAGATCATCAGGTTATATGACAAGCATGTCACCACTATTTCACGGATTTAGGTATTACTCCTTATAACAAATTAAAATAAGATCACTCTCAAGTACTTCGTAATTACAAGAGGCTTTCTGAATTACATAACTTAGCGATGGGAAAGCTAGACTGAACTATTTATGAGAAGCTTTAGTAACTGGAAAAGAAATTATAAATAAATATGTATTTTAGGTAATTCCTTTCCACCCTTTAAGATTAAATGTAAGAAAATCAATCAATGCAGATATCTGACATCACTATGGCTAAAAGGATCCTTGTCCTTGTGTACGTATTATGACTGTAGAAAAGTAATGATTATGTAATCTAGAGATTCGGTAAGTGAATTCAATTCCCAGCACCGGTAGTTACAGCGTCATTCTCTGGTGATCCACCAGCTGTTTGATGCGGTCGAATACCCACTGCGAATCTTCCAACCAGAAAGACTTTGACTCGCCTTATAGCCCGTAGAAAGAATTAGCTAACTTGTTGAGGCTTTTGACGAACCGATTATAGAACGCTGCTCTCCTCAGAAACTGTCTTAATTTCCTCTTCGAATTCGGGTTATCAATGGACTTGACTGTTAAAATTTTTTCAGGTAATGGTATTATCTCGCCGTTTCCAACCTTATGTCCTAAAAGCGAAACGTTCTTCTTGGGATTCTGAGATTCCTACTCTCTGATGCGTAGACCAAATTCTTCGATGCGCCTTAGAACTGTTTTACATGCTGTATGTGGACACTTTCTCTGGTAAAGTATATCACTAGATCACCTCCATAAACTTTGGCGTCAAAAATCGTCTAAATAGAAACGGGGCATCTGCCAATTCAAAAGGTATGCGTTTAAACTCATATTGTTTCTGTCCCACAAAGAACTCCGTCTTATCTCTACCTACCTTTTTTGTTAGCAGTTGCCAGTACCCTGATCGCAGATCTAAGACTGTGAACAGCTCCGCACTTTGTAAGCGATCTAAAGTTTCCGCTATGGTTGGCATCGCACGCTGTCTCAGCTCTGTTATGCCGTTCAGTTGTCGGAATTCAACACAAAATCTCTATTTCCCGTTGTTTTTGTTTACTAATAGCACTGCAGAGCTATATGGGCTATCGGCTTCAATAATGTTATCCTTCAATATCTCTTCAACCTATCTTGCAACGTCGCTTTTTAAAAGACACGAAACTCTTCGAGTTATGAGTGGTCTCATTTCCCCACTCATTACTGGAATTTCGTACCTCATTTCATCACAGTAACCATAAGGATCCCCGTCTCCAGTGAAAAGATGGTTGTATTTGCTAAGCAACGTTGCTAATCTTAGGACTTCCGAAGCTGCAAACCCTGCCGCCTCCTTATCCTCTTCCATGCTGAAAAACCCATACTTCGTAACGACAACCCTTTTCCTCACGTTAATCACTGCATCTACTTCTCGCAACTCAGGTACAACCAGGCATGGAAACGTCACGTTATCCTCTCCAATACTAACTCTGCAGTCTGACACTCCTGAGATTGTTAGGACGTGGCCCCCACTGTCTGCACTATCAAGGAACACGGCCTTATGCTCTCCCATAAGCTCTTATCTACGAGTGAGGCAGCTGCCCTTGTGTCAGTTAAACACACCGATTCGCGGTCATTTATGCACAACTTCGAATACATCGCCCCCTTCTCAATCGCCCCTGTTACCTCTAGTGTCGGTGAACAGAAAGAAGACACAGTATGCTTTTTAGATTTTTTCTGTCGTCTCTCTGGGCAACGTTTTTCCAGTGTTCCAGTTTGCCGCATGCAAAACACCGGTCTCTCCTCA